AACAATAAGTGTGATAATAATGTCATAATGGTGGTGATGTGACATTTGGTAACAGCAAGATGGTATGTTATTTATTTATTAGGTTCATTTCACCTCATTAATACATTTGATACTTGAAAAGACAATACATTATAAAAGGTGGTTTCTGATATACGCTACATAGAGAGAATGTGGGAAGATCCCAAGTCATGACATCAGCTTTGCAGCTGCTCGACCGCTCGGCCATCCTGACGTAGGAACCGACGTCGGGGCAACGTCACTGTTGAACCTTCGAGCTCTATGAAATGATCTCCTGCTCCCTCTGCTGGTTTTTACACGGTGGTGTTCATTGGACTGCAGAGCAAGGTTGTAATACAAGGCGATCACCTATATTTTTTAAATTAAAAAAGTACTTAAAATAAAGGTAAATACATACAAGCAAATAAAGGTAATTACTAATAGACTCATTGCCCTGCTATTACCAACATTTCGTGTCAAAAACTACATGAAGCTACCCCAGAAACTCTCAGCTTTCCTTTAGTAATGTATATTTTTCCATTGTGACACATAATTATAGATCCTTAATATATTTTACTTTATTGACATTTTTACAAGCTAAAAGAGAAATAGCTTCAAACCTATTTGTATTTATATTATATATTATAACTGCAAGTATCCAGAGTTCTCTATTTTATTAGGGATAATATTGTGTATTTCTAATAGAAAAAAACAAATTTCTTCTGTTTATGTAAATGTTTGAGTTTTTTTTCACACTTCAACGTCTGTTTCCCTTTCCAATAAAGTTCCTTTGAATTAAATTAAGGAGAAACTTTACTGAATCTTAAGGTTTAGTATGCTCATGTGTTCACTGAACTTATTCAGAACCCAAAATACACTGTGAACTTTTGTATTTATGTATCATTTATATACATAAAAAGATATTCCTCCCAAAATATGTGTGTACTTCGAACACACAGTTGTTTCTGCTGGTGCATATAAAGGTTTAGAAATTGACAAACTTTATTTGGCATCCTGTGATATGACCGAAAGCTCAAAAAACAGCTTCTGGGAGTTTTCTTTCCTTTCCTAAGACATTACATGCATTGAAATTGTATATTCATAACACATTATTGTCCTGTGCTTTGTTACAATTGCATTGATTGAAAACCTTAATAGAAACTACTTAGAACACTTAGATAGGGTTTTATCCCGTTGTGGTAGATCTGCATTGATGATAAGTAATCCTTTGCTGTTACTTCCCAATGCTGGTAGACATTTCCAACAGCAGGTGACAGTGTTGTCCCATGTAGCTGGATACCTGAACCTTTTCAACTGTGAAAGCCAACCACTATTTAAACTCTCCTGAAGAGCCAATTTCCAGAGCTATGGCAATGTGTTTTATACTGGCACTGACACTGGCCTTTTTCTTAAGGTAAACTGACGATCCCTGACTAAGTGACACATCATTTATATTACATTAACTGCATACCAATACTGTACTAGTACTAGTGCAAGTAAATTCTGTACTCTTTGCACTACATTCCCCTATGCTGCTGTGTCTAATTTGAATTTCAATAAAGGATCAATAAAGGAGTACAGAAAAACTAATAAACTGTACAACTTTGTGAAAGATTTCTATGACTTTAGGGCATTTTAAGGACATTTTTCTATATGGATTATGTTTATTTTTTACATTTTAAACAATTACACATACTTGTAAGGCTTATATATATATATATATATATATTCAGGGGTTTCTTCTTATTGTTCCATGAGCTCTTTGGTTGTTTTACTTTTCTTTACTTTTCTAATGCGGGACGAAGCAGAGAGGGAAGGCTTTGTGAAATATAGCTTGTTATCACTATGCCATTATCCTGTGAGATTTCTTTTCAAGTTTATATCTTAAATAATAATCTAAACTTTAAAAAAAATAACAATTTCATTTAGTTTTCTTTCCACTTGGAACAATAATATGTGTCTGATGTTTTTTTTTCGGTCTACTCATTAAACCACCCTTTATGTCACCCCTTAATAGGCTGCAACCGTGTGTTTCTGTTTGGGCCTCAGATATCACCTGTTTAGCTTTCTGTGACCCCTAGGGATTTTAAAACAGGGCGCATCCAGGATTTAAAGCCAGAACCTCTAAAATCCAAATTTATATTTACACTCCCAGACCAACAAGTCAGCTGCTGCAAGAACTCGCAGATGTATTATCAAAACCTGTGATTAAACTCTTAAAACACGTGATGTGGCATGTTGGTTACCCCGCATCACAGACTTTAAATAAAATGATTTTATACATTTCCAAACTAAACACGACTAAATGTAATTTTCTAGTATAAAGAGAACACCTCTAACCTGCAGGTTATAGCAGTTTAAAACCATTAGTAAATATAGAAGTACAAATACTTTGTTATTGTA